AAAGAATAGTGTAGTGAACATTGTTACAACCCTCACCTGGATTGATCTATTACAATATTAACATGCTAACACATTAGCTTCATTTCTTTGTACCTATATAAACACACACACTTTTTTGTTTTGCTGAACCATTTGAAAAAAAGTAGCTATCATATTTTAAGTGCTTCATTGTAAATCTCCTAAAAATAAGGGTGGTCTGCATAACCATAATATATAGTATATATAATGTGCTATATTCACATATCTCCAATCGTCCCCAAAATGTCTTTAGCTATTTTTTTTCCCCTACCAGATCTGGGATCTATTCAAAGTCCATGCATTGCATTTGGTTGTTTCAGCTCTTCAGCTTTATCTAGAACAGTCTCCTTGCCCTTTTTTGCTTACTTTTGTTTTCTTGATGTTGACTTTTTTGAAAAGTTCAGGCCGGTTGCCTTATAGAAAGCTCACTCATTCAGGAGATGCACTAAAATTTACCATTTCCAGCATCGTTGCATAGTAAAGCCTTCCCCACCCCAACCCAATTTTTATTATTTGCTTGGTATTTCCAATATTCTGGGATTACTGGGTAGAGGTGGGTTCTTTGTTTGTTTTTGACACAACTTGTATTTTCAGATTACTACTGAAAAGGTCTGTTTACAGGGTGATACACTGAGTTGAATTTCACAGTGATTCTCTCTTCCACTCTACCCTCTTGTTCCTCTCTATTGAGAGTTGGTATTTTAAATGGATTTTTAGTCAGTTTGATTTTTACCAAAATCCTCCTGTTGCAGATAACTAAACTGACACTCAGAATTGTGGAATTGTCTGGGTTGCTTGTTAGTGGCACAGTTGTTGCTAGAAATGAGCCTCCTGACTCTTACTGTTAAGCCATGAGATAACTTTTTTTATAAGATGGAATGTTACTGTTGAATAAATTCTAGCCTTAGGAATCACGTATTTATCGTATGTAACCAAAATCCGAGGAATACCTGAAAATCAGCTGCATGTTTAGACCATTTTGGATCTTTTCTTTTTCCCATAACAGTTCCCAGAATATGTGAGTTGAAGTTGGAATTGAAAATATCCTAATATTCTTTAATAAAGGGCTAGTGTATATTATTTAAATTAATGGCATTTTAGGAGTTTGATGATGCATTACAATTTAGTTATACTTTTTGTGATGGATTTTCTGTTACAGACTGGAAATAGCAGAGGCTATGCCTTTGTAGAGTTTGAGTCTGAGGATGTTGCCAAGATAGTTGCTGATACAATGAACAACTACCTTTTTGGTGAAAGACTCTTGCAGTGTAAGTGCTCTCATCTTCCCCGTAGGGGTGCATGGATGCCTACTGCTGCTGGCTGACTGGTGGGAAGACAGATTTCTTGGCTGCTTGGACATGCCACTTCATCTTGGACAAGGATTTAAGTGTATTTTCCATGCCAGTTCTAATTGGAATTTTAAAATCTTCCAGAGTTAGAGCTGTTTTTGCACTGAGATGGAATTGTACAAGTTACTTTGGGGGTGTATGGTAAGAGCAGCTAACCCATCCTTAAAGGGCTGTGGAAGACTTCCCTGAGGAAGTATTTTTAGA